TTTTTTTTTTTAATAACCTTATAAAGTATCGATTATTCTGAATATTATTTTTATCTCGAATCTTTGTCAGTTTCTGTTTAAAAAGAGAACATTCTGCGACAGAGATAACCAAATGTAGCGGCAACGTCTTCTCTCGATAAGAATAGAAAACACATTTACGTCTCGAGACACTTTTGATACGCGCGCGAAAGCGTTAGACACACGACGAGCATCCTCCTCTTCAAATTGTATCGCCGTTTTCAGCGCGATCTTCCACATCTCGCGACATTAACGTCACATTTCCCGTCGAACGCTGTATCGAAATTTTGTCGAACTCGCCCCGCGCGCTTACACACAGTCATCAATTCCTCGCGAATTCAATATCGAGAAATTCCGACTTCCGAAACACACACACATGCCCGTGTCGTTCCGCGCGGAACTGTCGTTTTCGACTGCGCACCCCTCCGACGGGCGCTTGTACGGACCGTTCGTTTCGTTTCGAAGTGGAGTTATAACGGAATTAATACGGCTCGATAGCACAAGGAAGTCGTCGTCGTCGTCGAAACGTCCGGAAAACCTGGCTTCTATTCTTCACCGCGTTTCGAGGACGATAAAGCGGCCACCGCCGGGGCCTGACACTTCCAGCGATCGCGCGGCACTTATTTATTTCCGCGGAGCGATTCCCGTCGCGCGCGCGCGCGCACGCGCTGGTGCTAAGTCAGCGCTGGGAACGGTCCCGGAAGGAATATCCGCGCGGTAAGCGGGAAAAGATAAATACCGTTTCTTCGAAACCCAATGAGCCGCGATCTCGAGCCCTTCACAACGCGCGAAACGATTAACGGCGCTAATGAAAAGTTTCCGAGATTACCACGTCGTTGAATTCTTTATTCGCGCGCGTGTGTCCTGCACACACGTTTTAAATAAATTAAAAACTCAGCGCTTTCGCACACGCGCGCGCAAAGAACATGAACGCACCGTCAAATAATTGAAACGTGCGAGTTCGAGACGCACGTTCTCATCACCTGAAATACTAACACATTTCCCGGATGAATATAACAACCTATTTCGAATTTCAACAAAATCGGTCAGGAACATAAAATAGCTCTAGCAATTTCTGGTCTATCAAACGCAGGGATGTGAGGAAGAGAAAATATTGATCCCGCCAAACGTTATACCACCAAATGCACTATTCAATTTTCGTGTCATCTGCTCTAGCGGTGTTATACGCACGCGTTGCAATTTAAAATGATAATTTAATTTTCTTCCGAGAATTAATTTGATTACATAGAGCGTGTGATAAAAAAGTTTGAAAAAAAAAACACCAATGTTTTTCAAAGTTGTTTGTACGGAACAGAAGAAACAGTGCGTTGCAAATAAAATAATCCCACGTTAGCGTAACATTTTTATCTCTCTGTTGTATTAATGTTAATTGTACTGTAAAATTGTATCAAGAAAAAACATAAAAATTGTTAGTCGATATTAGCGCGAATCGTCATTGAGACAGCAATCGGATTATTAAAATACATACATCAAACGTGTATGCAAAATATATTAATCAGAAAGAAAGTATAAATTAAACATATCAAAAATTTAATCCAATCGGAGAGAGTAACACACGCGCGCGCACGCATGCACACACCGACGGTAAAAACCAAAGAGATATTTTTCACTTGGAAATTTTTCACATCAATTTTTCAACAGATTTTACAACAGTATAGAACGTCCGCTGATAATTTCAGATAAAATAAACAAAACAAAAAGTTATAATTGAATAATCTTTCTGTGGACATTTTAATATCGATATTCGGTTTTTAGTTGTACGTGCGATTTAGATTTTATCCCAGGAAATAAATCCCGTTCGAGCAAAACGGTTTATCATAAAATTCATTCATTTTAGAGAGAGCTTCTCGTTATTTACAATCTGAAATAATTCTCAAATATCTCTGCGCGTTCTCTCTCAATTGTTGTTCGCGTTTTATTTCTACGTAAGTATCGATAAAAACAAAAAAAAAAAAAAAAAAAAAAATACGATATCCTTATAGGATAGCCTTATAGTACTCACTTTTTTAACATTATTTTCGGACGTTATTCTACGATCTCGATGTGTAAAATATTAAAATCGCCATTTTTCAGAATAAATAAAAATGCTGATGCGTTTGTACGAAAAGCCGTTGTATCGCTCCATTTTCATTCTTCCGCAAAATGTGTTTTTCTCACCTCCGATACTGGCATTATACGCGACGCCAACTCCGCAATACTGGTTGAAGGCGACGGCCGCTACTTCGCCGGCGCATCGAGTGCCGTGCTTATTGTCGCCGTTGTCCCGCGGCATCGGATCGTCGTCGTTGTCGTTGATGTCCGTGCTGGCCTGATGATCGTAGTTGAGCGCCAGATCGGGATGATTCGTTTGAATGCCGTCGTCCAGAATCGAAACAACGACGCCCTTGCCGGTGTAACCCTTTTGCCAAGCCGGGCCGAGATTCATATCGTAGCCGTCCTTGGCGCCGCCGTTCTACGAAAATGTCACAAATTTTGTCGTTACAATTTATTGAGTCGACACGTAGAGGCCGCGATGTCGCATTTAAACGTTTTTTTTTGCCACTTAAACGTATTTGACAAACAAAAAAATAATAAAAAAAGTTTTACACCGTGTGTCGCGATAAGCGCAAAACGTCTTTTTTGCCACTTAAATGTATTTGACAAACAAAAAAATAATAAAAAAAAAAGTTTTACACCGACGTGGTAAGCGCAAAAAGCATCCCGAGCCGAATCACGATGATAAATCGTCCGTGACACGGTACATGATTCTTTGACAGGAATTAATTCGCGAATTTCGTGTTGCCGTGTACCGGCCCCGTTGATTGATATTCACGTAATGCTATATATGTATATGTACCTTTACGCGCGCGCGCGCGCGCGCACGTGATTTTCGTGGATTAATGAATTGGTAGCCGCGCACGCACAAATTCGAACGCCGCAACTCTCAACGAGATTTGCCGTATAATGGCAAACAGAGTGATGGGGATATCTTCGCAATTTGTGGTTTTTCGCGAGAACTCAATTGAGGAACGCATATGCGGCGACAAGTTGCGCGAGAGTTCAGTTTTATAAACTCTCGACGAACTTTCTCGAACAGATGTTACGTCAATATTTTCTCTCACATTAATATTTTTCTAAGTTGCAGTTTTGCGCGAACTCTCTTCTTCTCTCGTTGTGTAAAATTACATATCGCACGTGTACGCGGTCCGGTGGATAACGTAAAATTACCATCTCATCTCGACGTTTTTCTGAAAAATGCAAATATGCGCTACTTTTTTTCGGAAAAGATACAAATATAAAAAAAAAAAAATTAAAAGTTGAAGGTTCAAAAACTGAATTTCAATTCGCGCAACATGTGTGCCACAGTTTTCTCCACCCAAGGTTTCTCGCTACCCATCACGACGCGCCGGCGTATAAAACCATCGGCTGCGTTAAAATTCCATTCCGTATCTCTGCGAATTTCGGCAGAGCTTTTCCGATATCGCGGGTAGCCAACCGACGCGTCAAAAAAAAAAAAAAAAAATTATATGCGGAACGCGATTTGTCGGGATACGCGCGACCGAGCTTCGCGATTTGTATCCTATCTGACAACCGGTTCTCGATTTTATGCATTTATAATAGATTGATTATTGCGGGTTCCCGGCTACGATAACGGCGGTTTGCGTTCGCGCTCGTCAATTTGCGTAATAAATGTACGGGCGTGGAATTACGCGAATGTTTCGTATATACGCGGGCGCGTGCGTGTGGTTAGGTGCGGCGTGTGCGATTATGCGGCGAAAAAATTTGCGACGGCGATAAATTTATGCGTGCGCGGAATGACACCGCGATTCTTGTTGATCATCCATCAAGATAAACGAACAGTTGGGATAATGTAACGTGTATAGAAAAAAAAAAAAAGATTTGCTAGAACAGCAAGAAATTATTTACTGTGTGACCAGCATTTGAGATTTTCGTTTCACCAACAAAACGTTTTGTTGATAAAACAAATTGTTCGGCAAACAACAAATTTTTCTTGCTGGTCGTATAAGAGCAAGATTCTTTTTCCGTCGCACGCGACAAACGCAATCAATCTTAGAGACGAACAATTTGTTATTATAATTGATTTACGCGTGTCCATTTGCCAACTGATAAAATTATAACAATTACCTCGTTGTAAAGAAACTAGAAAATTGATTTTTAAACATTTAAAAACAATTTAAATTTACGAGCAGACAGAAAAAATTTTGCCCGAAAGCAAGAAGATTATTATACTACAGAGTCAGAAACATTTTAAAAATGATATTAAATGATATTAATTAAAGATGATATTAACCTCCTTTCGTATAATAATAAGTCGGACTCGTAGTGCTGATTACAGACCAAAACATGAAAAAAAACATGAACAAAAAAGAATGTCAGTTCGGCCCGCAAAAAACTTCCTTCTAGAACTCGCGTTTTGCCAAACTAATTAGTACGGGAAAGAGTCAAACGTGCATTAAAATGATATTACAATAAACATCTTGCAAAAGATGAACATTTCATTAAATAAAGTTAATAAATAATTCTATAAATAACCTCAATGTGGAGGTCCTGTGGATCTCCGGCTTGTCGGTCTTATTAAATAACATTGAGATAAGATACGCAAAAAAAAAAAAGTTTTGCTATTACACGGTCGGCAAGAAAATTTTGCCAAGCTTATTAAATTTGTTGGTTTGCCAGCGGAATATTTTTTGTTAGTGAAACAAAAACCTCGGGTAGGTTTAGCACATTTTTCTCTCCTGGCCGTGTAACCGCAAAACTTTTTTTGTTCCTTGGCAGATACGTGAGACGAAGAAGGAAGCGATGCTTTCACTTCATTAACCTACGCGTAACACACGCGCGTTGTTAAGAATTTTAATAAAAGAGGATTTATATAATGCCGCAAAGAAAATTAATATCTTTTTTTGCAGCAAAATCTCAAAGTTCTCTCTTTCTCTCTCTCTCTCTCTTTCACTCTCCGAGCGTCGTGCGCGGGTTTTGTTTCTCGCGCGCTTGAAGATAATCTCGGACTCTCGTGTTTTTCGACGGATGTGCCGCGGCACATGCGGCATTTCTGAATATACGCAGCCAGCGCGAAAACACTTTCACGGGAGTGCATCGCGGAACGCAAGAACACGGAGAACGCTCTCTCTAATCTCTGCGAATGTTTTTCCCGCGTGAACCGGGATTTGGAACTGAATGCACGCGGAAATGCAACTCGCGACTCTTTCTCTCTCTCTCTCTCTCTCTCTCTCGTAACAAATAATTTCTAGATTTCGAATCCGTTTTTTTGTTTTCAAACTCCGTTCGCACGTTTTCGAAGCGAGATAACGATGTCGATTTGACACTGTGATCTATCGAACGATCTATCGAACAATCTTAGCGATTCGACAATCTTGGAAACTTTTTTTTTAACAAAGGACCGAATGCATCTTCAAAGTAAAAGTCTCTCTTTCCTCTCGGAATCAAAACTACGCGCTGTGTGCGCGAGATTCTAAAACAAAAAAAAAAAAAACAAAGAAGCAAAAATATCGTAACACTAATTTGAAAAAAATCCGGCAAGAATCTGACGCCTCGCACCATCACGTGCGTGAAACGCTCGTAAAAGCGTCCCCTTTCGCATTACGCTCGTGGAACTCATCGAGATCGTAGCAGAGACGAGCGGGTGTACGTGTTTTCGTCGCGGAAACACACCGGAGCGACGAAGGAATGTGCCAATCTCCGCGTCGATGCATCTTCCTCGCTTGACGCTGTGTGTGTGTTTTTTTTTTTTTTTACTTTTGCCCATTTGGAAGAGGGCGGCATGCTCGCTGTTCTCGCTCGCCCCGCGATTCCATTAACTAGATTGCGCATTGTCGTGCTCGCCCGAGAGGAAAACCGGAGGCACCGACGCGTTTCGCGTCGCTCCTCCGTTCCCCTTGTGTCGTCAGTGTCAGCGCTTATCTTGCGCTGAGATTTCGGGCGTTGCAAAAGCGAACGACAGAAAGAGAGAGAGAGAGAGAGAGAGAGCAAATAGTCCTATGTATGTACGTTGAGAATGCGGCGGGATCAGAATTCGATCGCTCGAAAGAGAAGGAAGATTCGTCACGGGAGGAAAACGCGCCAATGCGGGCGCGACGTTATCCGAGCGATCGTCTCTTTTACTGCTTATTCGATTTTGTCCCGCGTCGGTACAGCTGCGCGGAAACTGTGTCGACGCGGTGTCTGTGCGAAAAAAAGCTCGTTTTCAACAATCACGGGCGGTTCGACGCTATAAAACAATCTCTTCTAAGATTTCGCAGCGGAAAATGCGCGCAATTGCTCGACGGAAAAACACGCAAGAATTTCTCTGATTATGCCCGCGGGTTTTCGTGTGACGCGCCCATCGATCTCTCGGCTTCTTCCGGCGGGCGGATGCGGGTAAAATTATCCGGCAAGAAACGGGCCAAATTTACGGGCGCCGCGCATAAGAGGATGGCGCCCGTAATCCCGTCAGCGGCGCGCGAGGATGGATTCGCGCGCACACATTGTGGGCGCATATTGTGCCCGGGGAAGACAATGCGGCCCATTGTCTTTCGCGACGCGTGCGGTCGACCCGGCAAAAAGAGGAATGGAAAAAGAGAGAGTTCCCGGACGCGGAGGAAGGGAGGAGTTACGGAGAGTTGCTCCGTTTTCATCTCCTCGTCTCCCGATCTTCTCGTTCCTGTCCGCCGTTCTTCTGTGTCTTCCATTCTCTCGACAAAAGCGATTCAGGCGACGGAACGTCGTCGTTCTCTCTTGATCATTTTTTTCCGTTCGAAACGCGTTTGTTATACACACAGCGAAAAGCGATAAAATACGCGCTGACGAGACGGGGTTTCGATTTATCTTACAAATGACGAACTAGCAGGTTGTAAAACGAGCAAGCGAGGTGATCGTGAATTTATTTAAACAGGAGTGATAAATTACAACGAAACGTTTCGGCTCTAAACTTGAGTCATCATCAGTCAGAAAATACAATTACTGCAAAGAATCACAGAAAGTTGCAAATAAAATTTTTATTCACGCGAGAAATAAATGCGTAATCATCATACCTTAAAGATGTGACAAGTGCAAAAAAGTGTACTTCATTATACAGTAAATAACACTTTGAGAAACACAGTAGACAATAAGTCAAAACTGATAAATATACATTTGTGCTCGGTGTGTTGTAACAAGTCAAAAAAGCACAAAGAGACAAACATATTTACACATGAATCCCCTCTACCAGAGAGATGGAAAATATGTCTTTGAATCTTGTTAAGTAAATAAAAATAGACATCATCAAGCATATCAATGTCACTCACTAATTTTAAGTCGTAAGACTGTTCTTCTATATAGATGACTTCTAAGTCTCTTAAAATAATTGGATTCACGATCTAAAATCTCAACATAAGTTCCAATCAAACGTACGACCGAAGTCAAACGTATGCTCATAGACGGCAGAAATTGCTGTGAATATTATTAATATGCTCTTTG